ACCCTAACCCTAACCCTAACCCTAACCCTAACCCTAACCCTAACCCTAACCCTAACCCTAACCCTAACCCTAACCCTAACCCTAACCCTAACCCTAACCCTAACCCTAACCCTAACCCTACGTGGCACATACACGAACGGGTTACCCTCCGGGTGGGAATAAGCCGTACGGGTTATATATATTCGAAAGATAATAATTAAAGTATAAAAAAAAGTAAAAAGATATTGATTCAATTGGCTTAGCGAAAAGAGGGTATTGAAGCCTAATGCATCGAAAAGGCAACTAATACCCTATATCCAATCACAAAACACTATGAATCAAGTATCATACGGAGCATTACTATTGGTCAATATTAGATTGACTAATAGGACAACCCTGAACTGTAACCTGATAGTATGATTCGCTACGTCATACTATATACAGGGCAACCCCACTTATACCACTACATTGATTGGTACTGACAACCATCAACTATTTAGGTATCAATATAATGAAATTCCATATTGTTCCATTTAAACAACTAAGCAACCTTATTATAATATATATATATTATATCACAATTTGAAAGTTCATATTATTCAAATTTAAAACCACTCAAAAAGCCCCCTCAATATCAGGATTCTGAAACATAGTTTTTTCTAATTTTATTATTATTATTCTGATTTTTATTCTTATTTTTATTATTAGAATCGATTGTATATAATTCAACTACCCCACCACTCTTTCAACTAATCACTACTCCCCCTATTCCTACAAATTCAATCTTTTATAAAATCAGTACAGATCAATCAATTCAAAAAATAATTTAAATCCGTTTTCAGAATTCAATAAATAAATCAAAATAAACCCTAGTTTACTATAAAATAAATATAAATTTCTTATTCTAAATTGGATTTAGGGTGGTAGCCAAATCGATTCATTTTGATAGTCACCACTACCCCCTGCTTTCGAAGATTACCATAGCTTAGGGTTCGACCTTATCAAACTTAGGGTTATTTCAATTCAGTACTAAACCATCAATTGAAAAGATATCGAAAAAGTAATTTCATATATAAGAAATTCAATTGAATCTCTATTGATTCCTTTTTTCAGATTTTCGAAAAGCCTAAAATTGAACCCAGGAAGGATAATAACCAATTGGAAAGTTTTTAGGAGGGTCACCACTCCCCTTAGAGTAGTGGTCACCACCAGTGCTGACCACCAAAAAAATCCTTAGAATAATAGTTAGGATTACAGAAGTTGTTTTAGAGGTACAGATCCATTAGGGTTTTGAATATCGGGTAAATTAAACCAAGAGAGTATCAGTCATGGCTAAGCTCAATTATCCTTTTCAAAGAGCAAAATCGTGGTGAATTCGGGCTTCCAAGAAAATCAAATAAAACGGACCGTTCCTACTTCATGAAAAAGCGTCATTTTCATCTTCCAATAGGTACCGCTTCAAGCGTTTCATAGACATCTAGTTGAATAATGATCATCAACATTGAATAGAATATATGATAATAAATGATGATAACATCGAGTGGTGAGAGAGATATGAATATTGTATGTATAACCAGAGAGGAAAAAATAATGAAAAATATATACACGAGTTTGCCTCAAACATGAAACTTGGCCAGAATCTATGCAGTCAGGCATAAGTGTGATTTTAAAAGACAAGTAGTAGTCAAATAGAATAAACATTATTGTTTGAGTGTGCGGATTGGGAAATTCATAGCTTTATGTATTTAGTCGATAGAAAAAGTCAAGGATTAGGTCTTATCCCATAAACTGAATATGAACCTCGCTATAATGTATCTAAGAGAATTCCGCAGACCTTCGCTAGATATAATCCATGAATAAAAAAAGAACAATGAAAAGAAAGCAGATGATACACTCATTAAATTCTGACCCCTCCATCTTCATCACTATCCTCATTCTTATTATCATTCGAACCCCATTTATATACTATTAATAGTGATACGCTACCTTTTTCAATATCACTATCCTTATTCTTATTATCATTCGAACCCCATTTATATACTATTAATAGTGATACGCTACCTTTTTCAATATCACTATCCTTATTCTTATTATTATCCGAACCCCATTTATATATTATTGATAGTAATATATTACCTTCTTCAATATTATTATCCTTATCCTTATTATCATTCGAATCCTATTTATATATTACCAATAGTGATATACTACCTTCTTCAACATCGCCATCCTCATCCTCATCATCATCCGAACCCTATTCATATACTACCGATAGTGATACGCCACCTTCTTCAATATTGCCATCCTCATCCTTATCATCATCCGAACCCTATTCACATGCTACTGATAGTGATACGCTATCTTCTTCAATATTGTTATCCTCATTTTTATTATTATTTGAATTTTATTTATATGCTATTGATAGTGATATGTCATTTTCTTTAATATTACTATCTTTATTTTTATCATTATTCGAATCTTATTTATATATTATCAATAGTGATATATTACTTTCTTTAATATTGCTATTCTCATTCTTATCATTATTCGAACTCTATCTATATATTATTGATAGTGATATGTTACCTTTTTCAATATCGTTATCCTTATTCTTATCATTATTCGAACCTCATCCATATGCTACTGATAGTAATACCCCACCTTCTTCAACATCGCCATCGCCATCATTGCTATCCTCTCCATTCAAATCATGTTCCACTTCATTATTGCCTTGATCACCTCCAAGAGAAAATTTCTCCATTCCAATAGGTAAACTCTTTACTGCATCCTTATCCTTAACGCTGTCTGTATTGGATTGGATGTCTTCGCTTCTTTGATTATGAAGTTTCTCTATTTCTCTAATGAGATCGAGCTCCTCTTTATAATCTACAAACATGTTAGTCTCATAATTGTGAATGATGAATATTTAGACTTACATTTGATGATAGTAGACTCATTGTCAATGTCAAGACTTATCATCACTCTAAATTGCATAAGAAGTATACCGAATAGGTTGTTTCCCGGCCATTGTGCAATAGCAGTTTGCTTAGTGGCCTTCATTCCAAGACCGGATCCCCAAATATTGTCAGGTGATACTTCGACTATAGGTTGAGGTATGGTTTCCTTTAATTTTTTTCTTAGATTTGGGCTGGCTTCAAATTTATACAAGATTGATTGTTTCATGACAGCGATTTGAATCGAGCGTGTCCACTTGGTCAAATCAAGTTGTATCATCTCTCCTAACTTCTTGGCTTTCTCTGGATCTCGTTCCTTACGAATGGTCTCGGAAAGCTTATGATCGTTCATGACAATTGCTTTGGCCCCCTGAATGAATCTATGGATGGATTAATAATAATCCATGGATTTGTAAGGATTTACTTACCCTTCTGAGTGATACCACTGTCGACCCATACTATCCTCAAAAGAGGATGGATATGAACTCTTGAGAAAATCATATTTGTCGTGACGATTGGATCCCAAGAAGATACCATGTCCCTTGATTTTGCCATTTTTGAGAGTGAATGTGTGAGGAAATTCCATCAGGGGTACGTTCAGAACATCGCACCCATGAGATCCAAACGTAAGACAATCTGAACACTCATCTTTCTTGGGCAATTTTTTGGGAATTTCGTTGGACATTTTGTTGGATATTCCAAGATAGGAAAGCAAATGAGTATAAATGTGTTATGAAGTTGATAGACTTGTGATAGGTAATTTTGATGTGTGATTGAAAAAGAGATCGGGGATAATCAGTGAAAGATATTTTGGAGCCGAAATTGATGTGAATCTTTATAGCTGTCCAGAGTGAGATGTTGGTGTACGATGAAGAAAGGAGGGAGAAGGTGATCTTCTCTTGAAAGGCGAGTTAGATTAGATTTTCAGAGGCGTACAAGGTGGAGGTTATCGATGACCGAGAAAGAAGATGTAAAGATCAGGGTGGAAATAATGGTTGTTGTAGATTGAAGAAAGAATGATGAAGGATGGATATCGAGGAGGTATTTGTATAGAAGAGGCTAAGAGGTAAGCGAACAATGTGGGTCCGGTCTGTAGATATATTGTTTTTGGAGTTTGAATCCAATTGGTAGAGAGATAAATATGAGAAATAGTTGTAGAGGATTAAGGAGAAAGAAATCAAGAATGAATAAGGAGGGGGTATTTGTATAGAAGATGCTGAAAGGTAAGCGAAAGATGTGGGTCTGGTCTGTAGATATATTGTTTTTGGAGCTTGAATCTAATTGGTAGAGAGGTAAGTATGAGAAATAACTATAGAGGATTTAGGAAATAGAAATCAAGAATGGATAAGGGGGAGGTATTTATTCATTCAAGGAAAGCTAAGGGGGAAGCGAAGAATGTGGGTCAAGTGATGAGATTGTATATGGCCTCTTGACCTAATGACTGAAATTCAAGTCGATTCGAACTTCCAGATAAATAGAATTTAATATCAAAAGATCATCTAATCATCACGAAAATGAATCAAAGAATATAAAAATACGCATCTCCATTGAAAACATCATGTACTAAAGCTAGGTAAGAAAATCAATCTATCTCAATTTGTCCCCTCAATGACGAACTCCAAATTGGTTGGCCATGTCGTAATGCTCTAACTCCATGCTATCTGACCTCTCACTCTTGATGCTATCATCTTCTTCATCCTCGCTATCATTTTCCTCAGCGTCATCCTCATCACTTTCGACCCCGTCAGCAGAATTCAAACCCTGAACATTGTAATGATCTGGAAGATGAGGTCCAGAATCACCAAATGATTTTTGGTACATTTCCTCGAAATTTTCGAGTTCCTTTGGTACGACGACTCCACTCACTCCTAACAGCATCCTTGCCATGCGCATAGCTTCGCGTCTGATTGCACGCTCATCGTTCGTGTCGAAGTCTGATTCTGCAATGATTCGTGAAGCAAGCTTCTTGAGCAAGTTCAAGCGTAACGCATCGCCATGTGTGCCTACAGTGTGTAGTATCAAAATTAACGCCGCTCGACGAGCGCCAATCCGGATAATTCTCCCGCCTGCTTTTATGAAAACTTCCATCGAGTGGGCGTACTCCCCCATTATCATGTACCTAGCTCTGTCTTGAATGTTAAAACCTTGTGCACCTATTGGAAAAGTGATTAAAAGAGCATCGCATTCATAGTTGACATCATTGAATTTTCGTATGATCTCCTCTCTCTCTGCAGTTGTGTGCCATGCACAAAGAGATAGGATCTCAAACTGTAAAAGCTTCAATAATGTTTCACATGCCCTATAGATTGATACATATTGTCAGCTTCATGTTCATATGAAAAATGTGAAAGGATGCTTACCATTGGGGCATGGGCCAATGAAAGAAGATGACTGCTCTTTCTCCCTCCCTTTTCCAAATAAAGAGCTGGGTCATGATGAAGCGAAGTTTCATAGAATCTTACATCAGGGTTGTCGACATTTGCAGCCTTTCGGAGTATGGTGGATACTTCTGTTCTGATGCAGATCTGGACTTTAGGAATTTGAATGTGGCGCCATGATCTTTATCAAGAGATCTCCAAGAGTTCACCTCTTTTGAACCACCGGATTTTAATCCCTCTCTTACTGTCACAGTTAAGGATGTTAATGAGGGGTCAAAAGAGGCGTGCATAAGACCTCGGTTTGCTTGGATGTTCATGTTATGGGATTGTACATCGTCTTCGATCTCATCATCGAGCGCATCTCCATCTCCGATTTGATCTTTCCAGTTGCGAGTCATTCTCTTGTATTTGTCGGAAACGTCCTGAGGCATTTTTAGATGGACCGTGAGCATCTTATAGGGAGGTACGCTTCCACCTGGTGTAACAAACTCTCCTTCTGAGAGCTCGATCCTCTTTCCCATGAATCTGCGCAGTTGGATTTCAATCAGGATAGGTGGCAAAACCATTCTGCATGCTTCAATGTTCCATTTGGTTCTCCATCCAACCAAGCGAAATGCTTGAGGACACAACATTTGCAATGGATACCCTAGTGCGTTTGCATCTTTGAATCTTTTGATGTTTTCCGGACTTTGATCTATGAGATAGTTCAAGTAAGATTCATCGTGCCCGTCGTAGATCTGGAATAGACTAGACATGTCATCCTTTTTAGGAAGATTTTGAGTCGAAAAGAAGGCCCGGCATCTAGCAAAGAGGAAGAGGTATCCATAAATATCATCGACCTTGTTCAAGATGGGTGTTCTGGTGGCGCCCAGAATAGATTTAAACTTGAAGCCGGAAACACATTTCGAAATGACGGTACCGAAATTCTCAAGGGCATGAAATTCGTCTCCGATAAATCGTGCGAATTTGTCCTTATTCCTGAGTAATATTCTTCCATCACCACCATCGTTACGAAATACCCTTTCGGGAAAGCATGTATAAGACGATATAATAAAGATCTTTAAGGTCTGTGATGACAAATTGTTAGGACCAGAATATGTTGCATAATCAGAATGAAACTTACATCTGGATCAGAAGTATCCAATGAACCCAAGTAATCGTCTAGGTCTTTTGCAGTCTTTCCGATACTTGCTTCATCACGATCGGCACCGTATATCTGTGTATCGGGAAGGAAAAGTTTACAGACCAAGATGTTTTTGAAGAATTTAACGAAATCATCAAACCAAACCCCAGTGAGGGCGCTTGGTGCGAGAATGAGGGTTGGTAGATGCTGAAAGCCTTGCTTGTTCTTGTTTATCTTCCACTGAAAATAGATGAGCAATAACATGGTGATTGTTTTGCCAATTCCCGGATCTCCAGCGAGGATTCCTCCGTGGTAGGGAGATTCTTCCATTCTGATCATCCATGTCACATCTGATTCAATCATTAGTATTCAAGATTGGTTGTTGAAGCAGGACTTACCTACCCATGATTTGATGTGAGAAAGGTATGAGGGTACTGTTCTCAATCTGAAGCTTTCCATAATCTTCATATCCAAGACATACGGAACAATCAAGAAAAGGTGGGGTGATGGCGGATGCAGCGGACATCCTGTCGAGTATTTTCGTGTACTCATTCTGGAATGTTTGTTCAGGGTATATGTTCGTAGCCACCCATTCAGCTTGGATTTTTTGGGCTGCATCAATAATCTCATCGAAACTTGGCTCAATGAGAGGCTCGAGTTCGTTTTGAACCTCCTCGAAAAATATTTCCAGATTCTTTTCGGATACGAGTGGGCGACTGGTGGCATCCCTTTGAACATCAGTTAATATGCCATTGCCGTTCCATTCCTTGGCAAATGATAAAATTGTCTTGACGGATTCCTCGTCGTCGAAGTCATCACCATCTGGACAGTCGACAATTTTGCGAGTCCTGTATGCTGATTGCTTCTGGTGATGAAATTGACTTCTTACACAAGCGAGTGAGTCATCGGATGACTTTGTGGTGTGATATGGCATCACCTTGGATATTCTTGGGGTATGGAATAATGGTTTTACACCCAACTGAGACTTCACTTTCGAAACGTCCTTCTTATTGAAAGCCCGCAAGACAGCCAGCGCGCGATTCGAATTTTCAGCAGTGTGAATTTCGTAGTCGGCAGTATGGGGTTCAGGATCACCTTCAAAATGTTCCGGGTAATTGAGAATGATGAGGTTCATTACATGAAGCCATCGATAATACCTCTCGATATTTTTTTGTTGGCATTGTGGTGCGGGAATGTCGGATTTCTTGATCATGATGTCCGTTCCGGTGATCAAATCCATGATTGTTGGGTTCTTCAAGTCTTCAATGGCCTGGAACAATATATTGCGATCCACTCTGAAATGCAATTCAGTTTTTTGAAATGCCTCGAAATCTGGCAGGTTACCATCACTAGGTGTGATAAAGGCGAACCACCTCGCCATAGCTTTGGCGTTCGAAAACCTCAAGTATCCAGCCGTATGAGACAACTTAGTGTTGTCGTAGCCCCATATTCTAACACCATTTGGATTGGCAGCAATGTCTTTGTCACGCAAAGCTTCGTTGTCGGCATTAGGATTGCGTTCCGATGGAGCTTGGTATCGAAATACATGTTTAAGTACTTCAGGTGAGGGCTTGAGATTGGTAACATCAGCATCCTCCAATAGGAGTTTGTTGTCCAGGCAGTGCTGACCCTAGTTCCGATCCATGATACCGGGTAGGCAAAAAAGGTGCGCAGGGAACAGGTAAGTTGTGAAAGGGAAACTGGAAAACATATTAATTAGCTGTGATATTCGACAAATTTACAAAGGAATTTGAAACTTGCGTGGTTCAAGATTGATGAATGGAGAATGGATGCGTTATTGGTACGCAATCACTTATCGTTTTTCCCGGGACATCAAACCGAAATTAGTTTATAGCATTTGAGGAAAGGCGGATAAGCGGAAGGTGTAAGAGAGAGAAAGGTGTGAGAGATAAGTTGGTTGTAGATGTGTGAAAGCGTAAAGGTGAATCTGGCGCTAGTGCAAGCCGAGTAATTGTTAGTGTGAACTTTTCTGGAACCTCGAACCCAAAGAGATTATGGGGAGGTTGACGGGGTGATGAAAAAGAGAAGAATGAAAGAGAAATACCTGTCAGGTCTAGCAAACAAACATGAATGTGTTCCGCACTAATAGGTATCGAGTAAGCGTTAGCTGAGGTTTTCCTTGGAGTATGAACCCAAGTGAAATTTGAGGAGATCGATGGAAGAAAATGTATTGAAAGAAGGAAGAAGGAAAGAGGTGTATATACGAATAGTTGTAGAAGAGGATGATTCAGCTTTGCGCTAGTACGAATCGAGTAAACGTTAGCTTGGGTTTTCCTTGGACTATGAATCCAAGTGAAATTTGAGGAGATCGAATGGAAAGTATTGAAGAAAGGAAGAAAGAAGGGGAAGCATGTACGAACAGTTGTAGAAGAGGATGATTCAGCTTTGCGCTAGTACGAATCGAGTAAATGTTAGATTGGATTTTCTTTGGACTATGAATTCGAATGGAAAGTATTGAAGAAAGGAAGAAAGAAGGGGAAGCATGTACGAACAGTTGTAGAAGAGGATGATTCTGTTTTGCGCTAGTACAAATCGAGTAGGTGTTAGCTTGGATTTTCCTGGAGATTCGAGTTTAAATAGATGAGGAAGGGATTTAAGGACAGAAATAGAAAGAGAGAGGTAAGAGATGGAGGTACCTGTGAGGTGTAGCAAGTGTACATGTAGGGGTTCTTCTGGCGCTAATGGGGATCGGACAAGTGTTAGCGTGGATCTATCCAGAAGTTCGAATCCACATGGGGTTTTTTGTGAATGGATTGAATAAAGTTGTATGGAAAAAGATGAATAAAAAAAGGAAGTACCCGTGAAAAGCGGATGGGAAAATTAAAGTTGGCGCTGGTACGAAGCGAGTAAATGTTAGCGTGGATTTCTCCAGAAGTTCGAATCCATATGAGCCTTTTGAGTGAGGGTTGAAGGAAGTTGTATAGAGAATATGAATAAGGAAAGGAAGTACCTGTGAGAAGTAGATGGGATGATAAGAATTGGCGCTAGTACGAAGTGAGTAAGTCTTAGTCTTGATCTTTCCGGAAGTTCGAATCCACATGGGGCTTTTTGGGAGTGAGTTGAAGAAAGTTGTGTAGAGGAAGATAAATAGGTAAGAAGTAAAAGTATTTGTGAAGAGGAAACGGAATAGGTAGGCCTGGCACTAGTAAGAAGTGAGTAAGTCTTAGCTTTTATGTTTTTTCAGAGAATCGAATCCATATGGGCTTTTTTCAGAGGGGTAAAGAAAGTTGTGTAGAGAAGAAGAAAGAATGATGTGAAGTCGCAAAATAAGCCTAAATATAGTTGGCGCTAGTACGAATCAGGCAAGGACATTATTACTCGGTGGAGTGTTTTTCATGTAAAATTAAATTTTATGTGCGATCTACTTGACGTGAAATTCTTGATGCGGGGTAAGTGTACTTTGACGAGTGAATTCTATCTAACATGGTCTTAGTAAAGTCACAGCTTCTATCTGATAGTTCAGACATCTTCATTCGGATCATTTACAGTGTTTCCTGCACACTGCAGACAAGTGCCAAGGATGTTAGAGATTCACTCCATTCGTTGTCAATTATTGCTGGATATCTCAATACTCTATGTGGCCTACGAATTATCTATGAGGGACTCAATCCAACCCTCTTATATTATCTACATATCGTTGAGCTGGTCTACGATCCCTATGGATTTGTGCTCCTATATCAATCGAGTCGCCGCCACCCCTTCTATATTCGATGTCTTACCGCCAGCTTCCTTCACAAATCATGTGGTTTCGGACGTCAATAGAAGATAGCACACTATTCTATTTTGTCTACTCACTTTATCTACCTTACCGCCAGCCTCCTTCTTGGAGGTTAGCTTTTATAATAATAAGGAATAGTATTGTTATAATGATAGTGGAAGATCTAGTCAGTTTAAGCTTAAGGGATAAATCGAATATATAGAATAAATCTAATAAATCTAATAAATCTAATAAATCTAATAAATCTAATAAATCTAATAAATCTAATAAATCTAATAAATCTAATCCCCCTTCCTCCTCTCTTTACCCTCTCTCTTTCTAATCCCCTCCTCCTTACCCTTCCCTTTCTAATCCCCTTCTTCTCTCTTTTCTCTTTCTAATCCCCTCTTCCTCCCCCTTCCCTTTCTAATCTCCTTTCCTCTCTCTTTCCCCTTTCTAATCCCTCTCCCTCTTTCTAATCCCCTTTTTCTCATCCTTCCCTTTCTAATCCCTTTTTCTTTCCCCTTCTTCTTTCTTTTCCCTTTCTAATCTCCCTCCCTTTCTTTTTTCCTTTTCTAATCCCCTTCCCCTTTTTCTCTTCCCTTTCTAATCCCCTTCCTTTTCTCTTTCCTTTTTCTAATCCTTTCCCCTTTCTAATTCCTTATCTTTTTTATTGCAAATCCCGAATGTGGCATGGTGGCAGGGTGGCTAGGCACTAGATGCGTAGCTTACGTAACAAGCGTAGCGGATACACTTAAATAGCATAGCTTTAGCTTTAATAACAAGACAGCTTTTACAACCCATTCCATTCATTGCCTATCACCGAACCTCCGAACCAATTAGAAATATTTATTTCATTCTTCAAAATCTTTTATCTCTTCAAATCTTTAATCTATTTTTTAATTAATTATTTCTCCTATCAATTATAACTTATCGATATAAAAATTATATTATTAGAAAGTTCTCAATTTAAAGAATATAAAGATATTAATCAATTGCATTTTATATATTATTTATAATTACTGTATCTATTAATAATATCTACCTAACCTATTCTAACCTATTTTCTAACTTTTGATGTTCGCTGTATGGGGTATTAATATTTTTTCTTAACTAATCAGTTTCCAGTTATAAACCGTGTTTTAAAATATATATGTTAGGGATTAGTCATCAAGATATTCCTTATTTAATAAGATATTAATAAGTGATTTAGTGAACTTATTATGAATCCTTACAAGATTCGAATCTTTCATTAGAATTAGAACAATTATGGATTTGATGAAGCGAGTAGTCTAGCAATAGATCTGAATCTTTCAATAGAATTAGAACAATCACGGATATGATGAAGCAGAGTGGTTCAGTAATAGATCTGAATCTTTCAATAGAATAAGAACAATCACGGATATGATGAAGCGAGTGGTCTAGTAATAGATCTGAATCTTTCAATAGAATTAGAACAATTGCGATATGATGAAGCAGAGTGGTTTAGTAGTAGATCTGAATCTTTCAATAGAATTTGAATAATGATTGGTATGATGAGGTAGGGTGGTCTAATAATAGATTTGAATGTTTCATAACAAATCTGAATTATTATACTAGAGGGATGAGACTGAAAGACATCAAGGATTCAATTTATTGCACACTGGGGAAGGAATTACTATAAGAATATCATTCGTCTAGGGAAGCTCACCATTGATCAATTTCATGAATTTATCCAATCTTCGAGAAACAATATTAAATTTTGATCGCAAGCTCAATAATCATATATAGGTACTAAAGAGTTGATCACATTTGATCTGAATACCTATATACTGAAATAGTGTCAATCATCGGACGCGCCGCTTACCGAGGCATTGAGGTATGCGGCATTTTCAAATACCTACTACCTAGATACCTGAAGATGAATGGACAAGATACGGAGTATCATAACTTTCACCGAGTTTCTCTCAATTGAAAGAAGACCACGTCCCACAGAAACGTCGCATCATACCGATGCTGGATCGATTTTCGAAGCACTCTTGGCGAAATCAGACAGTAACATACAAAGCTTAAAACTAATAAGAATGATGGATAGAAGACGCTGAGGGAACAACAAGGGGGGAGTCAGAAAAAGAGTGGAAAATAATCCGGACTAAATATTCACCGAAACCTGTGAACCTGGAATCAACACTCAGATACCAAGGTCTACCGTTTCAATTGAACTAAAATACCTCGAGGTTGCAAGTGGTTGCAACGTTATCTTTGGCTCAAGCAAATAATTTCTCCTTTTGTTTTCATTTCCAGACTTCATTGGTACACTCAAGTAAACATGTTTCTGTCAATCAAGGTATGCAAGGCTCAATCAGATCATATGATGCCCATGCCATGATTTATCATTGGATTGGTCCCAATTTTTCCGCCACAGGGTAAGTTGCTCTGCAGGTGTAAGGCGTAACCTTGGAAGCGCGGGGAATACCTAACACATGGCACTCATCCCGTTTGTTTCCCAGGAACCTAATAAATCTTGGATTTCTTTACGACTACCATGTATAAAGTAGAACAAAATCTTGTTTCTGGAATGTTTTAGATTGAATACTCCCTGGGTATCTTACATTCGGTAAACCTTTACCTAGGTAAGCTCAGCTGTGGCTGTGCATGCGAATCTTCACGTCTCGGTGAAATGG